GCCCCCCCCCGGGCATCGTCGGAGAGGTATCGTCGACGGGGTGTCGCCGATGGCTCCGCCGCCGCCGCCGCCGCCGCCGTCGTCGTCGCCGCCGCCGCCGCCGCTGCGGCCTGTCGTCGCCGTCGTCGCCGCCGCCGTCGCCGCCGCCGTCGTCGTTGCCGTCGTCGTCGTCGTCGTCGTCGCCGTCGTCGTCGTCGTCGTGTCGTCGTCGTGTCGTCGTCGTCGTCGTCGTCGTCGTCGTCGTCGTCGTCGCAGAAGCGGCAGGCCCGTCGGGCCTTTGGGCCGCCGTCGACGGGCGGGGGTCCTCAGACATGCTACGTTGCGTCGTGAGAAAATATCTCTGGGCCCCCTAGACGGGGTCGGAGGATCGCGCTGCATCGCCGATGCTTTGGCGATGCGGCTCGATGTGGAGTCCGAGTTTCTCGACGCCGACGTCGCCAGTGCCTCGCCAACGTTGCCGGTGCATCGCCGATGCGGCGCGATCTTCCGACACCATGTGCGCCGACCCCATCTAGGAGGCCTCTAAGATTAGGACGGGAGGTTTCCCTCCGCGTTGGGCCTCCAGGTGCCCTCACCTGGGCCCAGGGACAGGGCGCAAACTCGGTCCCGGGGAACGGGTGGGGGAACAACAAATACTCAGCACGCGCATGTCTGGGGGGGGGGCTGCCGCGCCGATGGGAGCAAGGTTGCCAGAGTGCCCGCGCGGCCCGAGGGCTCGGGGCTCGGGGTGCACGACCTGCGACTGAGCGGGGCCCTCCTCGAGGGGCAGCGTCAGGGGTGGGGGACCTGCTCGAGGGGCCCTCCTCGAGGCCCTCCTCGAGGGGCCCTCCTCGAGGCCCTCCTCGGGGGGGCTCGGGGCCCTCCTCGAGGGGCAGCGTCAGGGGTGGGGGACCTGCTCGGGGGGGGAAGGAGAGACTGCACGGATGCCCAGGCGGTCACGGATCTCCGAGGGAGGCCCGGCACGGGGGCCCCGACACAGAAGGTGTCCGCACCCAGGGTGGTAAATGCGGCGCAACACGATGACGACCAGACTTGCGAGATGCCCTTGCTTCGCACACCTCCTCGCCCAGACCCAGAATGGAAGCGCCCGCATCCTGTCCCTGGCCTCTGGCCTGCCGCCCACACCCGTCCAATCTTGTATTTGGGGGGAGAGGGGTAATTATGCGTCTTGGCCCGACGTGCCTTGATAAATCAGGGTCTTGACGAGACACGCGTGGACACTTTGAGTCCACCCACCGCAGCCCACCCAGGCCCAGCACCGTGCGGGCTCGCAATCGGGGGCCCAGCGCCTGTGATGGGCGCTTGGCCCCCCATCACTACGCCGATGCATCGGCGACTTCTCGCCGAGCCCCGGGCGCCGCTCCAGCAGCCGCGGGCCCCCGGGGCCCCGTCGACGAGGGCATCAAGTCGCAGGATTGCCCGCGCGGCCCGGGAACAGGGCCCTGGGTTGATGGGCTTGCTTCCCACCGCTACCACCATAAGTTGGAGGGAGGAAGGAGGAGGAGGATGAGGAGGAGGAGGATGAGGAGGAGGAGGAGGAGGAGGAGGAGGAGGAGGAGGAGGAGGAGGACCCCCTCCCCCTCCTACTTCTGGTGGTGGTGGTGGAAAAGAAGCCCACCATGGGTGCGCGACCCGGGGGGCACCGTCGATGGGGGGAGGGGGCCCTCTCGGCCGCGCGCAGAGTTCTAGGCCTCCCAGAGGGGGTCGGAGCACATGGGGTCCAAGTATTGGTCCGCATCGCCGATGCATCGGCGATGCGGCTCGATGCGGAGCCCGAGTTCCGTCACGCCGACGGCGTCGATGGGTCGCCGACGTCGCCGATGCAGAAGGCGCGGGCCTTGTCTGTGGAATGTGAGGCCCGCGCCTTCTGTGAGGCAGCCTCCTTCCAGGAAGCCTCCCCCCCTCTCCCTACCTACCCCCTTGTGCGCGCCGCCAAGTTATGGGGGGATGGGCTCAGGGGGGGAGTGCATCGCCCCCCGCTTGCCCATGGACTCCCACCAGGGGCCCGACAGCCCACCCAGGCCCAGGACAGGCCGGCTGTGCCCTCGGGAGCCTCACGCTGATCCATCGGCGATGTGTCGCCGGTTCCGGGGCGATGTTCCCCCCTCCGGGGGCCTGCCCCTCCCCCTCGTGGCCCCTCGGGGGATCTGTCCATGACCACCGACTGGGGCGTCGAGCTCTGGGGGCCTCGGCGGGCGGGTGGTCTGGACTTCTGGTCCCGGGTCGAGGGTTCACAGCCCCCCCCAAAAATAAATCGGTCTCGGGGTTTTCACAGACCCCCCCCCCAAGAGGGGATGGGGGGAAGACGACGACGACGACGATGACGACGACGACGGCGACGTCGACGACGGCGGCGGCGCCGCCGCCGCCGCCCGCCGCCTTCTCCTCAGTCCCCTCTAGGGGGGTGTCGCCGCCGCCGCCGCGTTGCCCCCGCCGCCGCCGCCGACGACGACGACGACGATAATGCCGCCTCCGCCGCAGACGTCGACGCCGACGCCGACGACGACGACGACGGACGACGGACGATGACGACGACGACGAACCACTCCCCACCCATAGGGGGAAGGTGGGGGCACTGGCACCAAACGCCACCCCACGCCCACAGGGCCACGACCACAGGGGTGGGTATCGATCACATCCGCGAGGCCTTAGCCAGGCTCACGGGCGCACCCATCCAGCGGAGGAAGAACCGATCCCATTAGCATCGGGGGGCTGCCACTCTGGATCATGCATTCGTGCCCTGGGGGGGCCAACCATCTCCACATTCACCGCCCGCTGATGTCCCCGAAGCTCGTTCCTTCAGGCGGCAGGTATGGATAAATCCCCGCCTGGCATTCCTGTTCCTCTCAGAGTCTGGCGTCGCACTCTTTTCATATAGCGGGGTGCCCCTGGAGCCTCACATATCGATCCAGCTATAAAAAACACAGAAAGGTAGGGTCTGAGCGGACGTCCAAAGTTTATGTTTATGTTGGTTCTGTGGGTGCCTTTAGGGAGGGGGCTTCGGACGCGATGGTGTGTTGCAGCATCGGTGATGCATCTTGGGTTCACTCTGGTCCTCCTTCCCTGACTTCTTTGTCATCCACCTCTCTCTTTTTCATAATCATCCTGTGGTGTTGGGTCCTCGTTTTGCAGAGACAGCGTCCCGCGTGCGTCACCTCCTCCTCACTCCTCCTCCCCTTCCTCCTCCTCCTCCTCCTCCTCTTCCTCCTCCTCCTCCTCCTCCTCCTCCTCCGCGAGGTACTGGTGATGTGCCAGGACTCGTGTCGGGGGGAACCTGAGTTGTTCCCAACCATCCTGTGGTGTTGGGTCTTCGTTTTGAAGAGACAGCGCCCCGCGTCTCCTCCTCTCCTCTCCTCCTCCTCCCCCTTCTGCCGCTTCCCATCCGCCTCGTCATCGTCATCGTCATCATCAGCATCTTCCCACCCATTCCGGCACACCCCTCACACGGTTCGTAGCCCCATGGGGAGCCCCACCGAAGGCTCCAGTGGCAGGGTCCGCATGCGGGGACCGCCACCCATTCTGGCACACCCCTCACACGGTTCGTGGCCCCACAGGGAGTTCCACCCAAGGCCCCAGTGGCAGGGTCCGCATGCGGGGACAGCCACCCATTTTGGCACACCCGTCACGAGGATCGTGGCCCCACAGGGAGCTCCACCGAAGGCCCCAGTGGCAGGGTCCGCATGCGGGGACCGCCACCCTTTTTGACGCAGCCCTCACGAGGATCGTGGCCCCACAGGGAGCTCCACCGCAGGCCCCAGTGACAGGGTTCGCATGCGGGGACCGCCACCCTTTTTCGCACACCTCTCACGAGGATCGTGGCCCCACAGGGAGCTCCACCGAAGGCCCCAGTGGCAGGGTCTGCATGCGGTGACCGCCACCCATTTTGGCACACCCCTCACGAGGATCGTGGCCCCATACGGAGCTCCACCGAAGGCCCCAGTGGCAGGGTCTGCATGCGGTGACCGCCGCCCATTTCGGCACACCCCTCACGAAGATCGTGGCCCCACAGGGAGCTGCACCGAAGGCCCCAGTGGCAGGGTTCGCGCGCGGGGACCGCCACCCATTTTGGCACACCCCTCACGACGATCGTGGCCCCATAGGGTGCTCCTCCGAAGGCCCCAGTGGCAGGGTCCGCATGCGGGGACCGCCACCCATTTTGACACACCCCTCACGAAGATCGTGGCCCCACAGGGAGCTCCACCGAAGGCCCCAGTGGCAGGGTTCGCATGCTGGGACCGCCACCCATTTTGGCACACCCCTCACGAGGATCGTGGTCCCACTTTTTGGTCTGCGGGTCGAGAGCGAGCCTCTTCCGCTTAAGAGCTAGGCGGGCCGCGCAAAGCGCTAATTGGGGAGACAGAGCGCGGGCGGGCGGGGCCTCAGGCGGCCAGAGGGCGCGGGGTGCAGGCGGTGCTGAAGAGCTTGCACAGGAAAAGGTACACCTTGGACAGAAGCCGGAGGCGAAGTCCATCGTGGCCCCACAGGGAGCTCCACCGAAGGCCCCAGTGGCAGGGTCCGCATGCGCCCGACGCCCATTTTGGTACACCACTCACATTGTTCGTGGCCCCATACGGAGCTCCACCGAAGGCCCCAGTGGCAGGGTCTGCATGCGGTGACCGCCACCCATTTTGGCACATCCCTCCGAGGATCGTGGCCCCACAGGGAGCTCCACCGGAGGCCCCAGTGGCAGGGTCCGCATGCGCCCGACGCCAATTTTGGTACACCCCTCACATGGTTCGTGGCCCCAAACGGAGCTCCACCGAAAGCGGTACCCACAACGCAGTATTCACAATTGCGCATGCTTGGGTCTTTCGCCCGGATTTTTGTTTCTCTCACTCTCTCCCTCTCTTTCTCTCTCTCTCTCTCTCTCTCTCCCTCTGTCTATATATACATATATGGGAGATCCCGGGCCCCGGGCCCCGGGCCGGAACCTCCCTTGTATATAGGGTGCGGCCCTCTCCCGGGGCGCCCTTCCGGCGGCCCCCGCGCGTTCCAGCCCG